ATTCACTGGATGCCCTGAGATTATGTCCTCGCTCCCACCTCTGCCATGCTGTTTAGAGTATCCCTAGATTTATGGCAAGTTTAGGATAGTTGCCTGTCCTTATTTCCCACATAAATGAAATGTAATCAAGGTGTTCTGGGTAAAATGAAGGACAGTCATTCTGTGCTGTCTTCCTGAAATATATATATGTATATATACATATCCCATATCCTCAAAAAAATCTCTCTCGTGTTAAAAGAATGTGCATAATGATAAATCTCTTTGAGAAGGTGCTACCAAAACTACAAGCTGTCAGGGCAAGTGGGGTGGCTTAAAGCACAAGATTTATTTTTGTTTTCATCTTTTCTTAGCATATCTGCTTTTAGGCAGTGTGCATCTTAGGTAATTTGAATGTATAAGGACTAAAGGAAAACATGATATAAAATTAGAAAAGAAAATCTGAATCTAAAATCATTTTCTTCTTTTTTAAAAAAATATCACTGCATCACTTTAATGTAGCATTTCTACTTCTACAAGTTTATTTTAAAGAAATAAGATATATACAAGAGTATACATATGAGGCTGTTATCACACTGTTTATTATTGTGAAAAATTGAGATCAATATAAGTATATGCCAGTGATTAAATAATATGTCCTACAATATAGCCTTTCAAAAGATTGAGTTTGTCTTACTTAGTTTTCTCATTGCTGAGACAAAATACCCAACACCTAAAGATAAAGGAGGAAAGATTTATTTTGGCTTATTGTTTGTAGAGGTGTCAGTCCATAGTTCACTGGCTCCATGGAGGACAGCATAGCAAAGGGGCAGTAAAAGAGGAAAAGCAGTCCATGGCAAAGCAGGGCAGGCAGAAGGCAGCAAGCAGTGACTGCAGTAGAAGTACCACCAGCAGCAGCAGGCTACCTCTCCCTTTTATACTTTCCAAGTCATCTGCCTTTTGGTTGGTGCCACCCGCACCTGGGTTGGGCTTGCTTTAATCCCAGTATCACATCCTCAATCCCAATATCACACACCCTAGATTCAGCCACCTAGGACTGCATGAGGCTTTGGAGAACATCTAGATAGAAGCCCTAACAAGGTTTATTCTAGTAGCAATATGGAGAAATTAAAAAGAAATTTTAAGCCACACTTCTGGCTTCTGGCCTGGCATGTAAATATCCTTGAAGCATCACTCCATCCCAACAAGTTAAAAAAAAAAAAAAAAAAAAGCACAGACTGACGATTCTCATTTAGTTAAAATATTTAAAAATTTCTCCTGAAATTTCTGTTTTTTTTTGTTTTTGTTTTTGTTTTTTTTTTTGAGACAGTGTCTCACTGCATAGTGCAGGCTGGCCTTGAACTCATGGTGATCCTCCTGCCTCAGCCTCCAGAGTCCTAGGATTACAGGTGTGTGCCACCACACTTGGCTCTCTTAAGGTTTCTTCTTTAACGTGTTATTTAGAAGCATGTTCTTTAATCTCCTGGTACTTGGAATTTTCTAACTATCTATTTCTATAGATAGAACAGCACCTGTAATCCCAGTACTTGGGAGGCTGAGGCAGGAGGATTGCCATGAGTTCCAGGCCAGCCTGGGCTACATAATTGAATTCAAGGCCAACCTGCACTATGCAGGTTTCCTCAACTTAATAGATATTTCTATATTTCTCAAACTGTTTATTAAGAATGGACGTTGGATTTAGTCAGATTTTTTTTTCTTTTCCATCTGTCAGTATGATCATGTGACTTTTCTTCTATAGTTTATTGATGTGGTAGATTTTTTTTTTTATACTGCTGGGGATCAGACCCAGGACCTTGTGCATGCTAGGTAAGTATGCTACCACTGAGCTATGGCCCCCAACCCATTAATTTCTTTTTAAATGTGAAACCAACCTTGCATACTTGGGATAAGCCTCATTTAGTCATGGTGTATAATTATTTTTATACACTGTTAGAGTCACACTGCTAACATTTTGTTGAGGATTTTTGCATCTATGTTCATGAAGGTACGAAGGTTTGTAATGTCTTTGTCAGGTTTTGGTATCAGAAATGGACAGATACAGCAGGCAGATTGGTAAAAATAATCAACTGGAGGTAACTGGTATCTATAGACTATTTTATCAAACAACAGCAGATTACAAATTCTTCTGAAGCTACACAGAACATTCACTCAGACAGACCACATTCTGAGCCATAAATGCATATTAGTAAATTTGAAGGAATAGAAATCATGATATCTGCTGTCAGACCACAGCAAATTACATTAAAAATTAATAATAAATAGTTGAAAAATCCCAAATACAGGAGATTAAAGAGCATACTTCTAAATAACACAAGTTAAAGAAGAAATCCCAAGAGAGTCAGGTGTGGGGGGTACACACCTGTAATCCCAGCACTCTGGAGGATGAGGCAGGGGGATCGCCATGAGTTCGAGGCCAGCCTGGGCTATGTAAGCGAGGTGAAGGCCAGCCTACACTATGCAGGTTTCCTTGAATAATAAAAATAATAAAAAAGATATACAATGTATCTTTAAATAATAAAAAAGATTATTTATTATCTTCCAATAATAAAAAATATATATAACATATATAACAACAACAATAAAAACTTCTTGGAACTAATAATAGCAAGGTGCAGGATGTAAAGTTAATGTACGGAAGATAATCATTTTCCTATATACTGCCAATGATCAAGTGGAATCTGAAATTAGAAATACATCATTTTGTACATTGACACCCCCCAAAATGAAATACCTAGCTATAAATATAAGAGAAGATAACAAGATTTATACGAGGAAAATTACAAAACTTTGGTGAAATAAATTAAAGAAGTAAGTTATTTTATAAAATTCCAGCAAGTTATTTTATAGATATGAAGAATCTGACTATATGGAGAAGCAAAAGACCCAGAGTAGCCAACTCAGTATTAAAGAACAAAGTCAGAGGACTGATGCTGTTAGACTTGAAGACTTCTACCATAACCAAGACAGTAAGGTATTCACAAAAGAATAGACTAATAATCAGATAGAATAAAAAGCCCAAACACAGACTCACATAAATATAGTCAATTTGCAAAGATAATCTTGTCACCATGTGGGTTCTACAAAAACTGGATAACCTGACCCTAAATCCTTCACAAGAGAATAACTCAAAATGAATCACAATCCTAAATATAAAATGAAAAACTAATAAAACTCCTAAAAGATAACATAAGACAAAACCTCAGTGACCTGGGATGTGGCAATAACTTCCTACAGGTTAGATAGCCATGATCCATGAAAGAAATAATGAATAAGCTCAACTTACTAAAATTGAATTTTTTTCTGATCTGCAAGACAGCGTCAAGAGAATGAGAAGACAAGCCACAAACCACAGGCTGGGGAAAATATTTGCAAAAGACACATCTAATAAAGGTTTGCTATGCAAAATATACAAAGAACTTCTAAAACTCAGCAATAATAAAGTGAACATCTTAGATAGAAACTGGACAAAAAACTCTAAACAGACATCCCATTAAATAAAAGGACAGATGGCAGACAGACATATGAAAAGATGATCGACCTCATGTGTCATTAATTAATTGCAAATTAAAACAACAGATACACCATCTTCATACCAGAATGGACCAAATCCCAAACACCGATACCCCCAAATGCTGATGAAAATGTGGACCAACAGGAACTCTCACCCATTTCTGATGGGAATGAAAAATAGCACAGCCACTTTGGAAGACAGTTCAGCAGTTTCTTACAAAACTAATACTCTTCCCGCACAATCTGACAGGCACAGTCTTTGGTAAATGAATCAGTGGTTGCCAAGCGTTGGGGAAGGGAGGAGTGAATAAGCACAGCACAAAGGGTTTTTAGGACAGCAAAATGACTCTGTATGATACGACAGTGGTGGACACGTGTCTTCAAACATCTGTCCAAACACAGAATGTGCAGCACCCAGAATGAATGGGTCTGTAGATAGACTTTATCCACGCAGGTTCACTGATTATAGTAAATATACCACTGTGGTGGAGCATGTTGACTTTGGGAGAGGTTTGCAGAGGGAGAGAAAGTGAGAATATGAGAATTCTATGTGTTTTTCTCTCAGTTTTGCTGTGACTCTAAAACTTCTCTAAAAATAGTTTATTAATTAAAATAAAAAGCATAGCATTCAATAAAACACATGATGCTATCCTATTTGTGTTCAAAGTATACAAATATATATTTTTATATATACATTATATCTATGAGGTATGATGGAAAATGATGGTGTATGCTTGGATTTTTAAAAATTTATTACAGTAAATGACATGTTGCTATTAGACCCCCTCAGAATACTCCCTCTCACTCCAAACACATTTATCCCATTGTTCTTGCCACTCTCTGAAGCAGTTCTAGAAGTCCTCTTTCCTGAGTGTCTTTTGTTGCACTGTCGTGGCTGCCTCAGTGTCCTGAATTGATTTGAAACATTTATCTTTCATGGTCATTTTGACTTTGGGCAGTAGCCAGAAGTCATATGGTGCCCAATTCGGTGAATAAGACGAACGAGGACACACTGTAGTGCTCTTATGAGCCTGCCTGTTTCCATTGGATAGCACTTGGCAGCATCCTCATTGGATTTTTGATCACCCCTTTTAAAGATGTTCAAATCTGTAGCATTTTAACTTTTGACAGCAGACCTATTTGCGTATATAAAAAGGGCAAAAGGAGCTGCTGCTAGGCCCGTGTCTCTGGGTGCCTCTTTCAAGTTCGTGTTTTCTGGCAATTTTCAAATGCAGAGTTGTAGCATTTATACCACATTTATTCATTCAAGAAGTACTTTTTGAGTGTCTCACCTGTGCTGGGCATTCTGCCAGGCCCTGGGGTTGCTGGGGTGAAGGAGAAACTGCCTTCATGATCCCAGTTCAGCGTGTAGGTGGAAGCCCTGGGGCAGGGAGTGAGGGGGTAGGAGGTGGGCTTTTTCTAAGTGTGTGTTCTCACAGGTTGAAAAAGTTCTGCCCCGTTTGGAAAAGCTGACTGTGATTCCTTTTTCTCAGAGAAGCCATGCGGAGACCCACCTGCATTCCCACACACCATTCTGCAGGGCCGCACCGGCCTGGATATGGGGGACGAGCTGCTGTATGTGTGTGCCCTAGGGTCTGTCGCGGGCCGCCGAGAAACAGCCTTCACCTTGCTGTGTAACAGCTGTGGCGAGTGGTATGGCTTGGTGCAGGCCTGCGGGAAAGGTAAGCAAGCACCCTGCAGCTGGAGCACCTCCTGGCCCTCACAGAGCCCACAGGGGGCCAGCAAAGGCTCTGCTTTTGCAGGCCTTCGGTGGTGAACTCTTCTCCACCAAGATGCCTTTGAGAAGAGGGTTTCAGCCTTTCAGCTGAGCTCTGGACCTGGCAACATCTCTGACCTGACAATCCCTGAAGCATTTCAAAAGCGGTATATGTACCGCTGAGCTGATCTTCCTTGCCAGGGGTAAATGGTGAACAAAACCCACCCTTCTCGAAGGATCAAACTGACTCTTAACTTTCTTGATTATTTTCCTGGGAAACTGGTCCAGGGGGAGCATCAACTGGGATACCCCATTGCTTCTGATAGAAATAACCCTTGAATGGTAAACTGGGCTGGGAGGATTTGTAATGAATAAAATACAGGAAAGGGAGCTTTCCCTAAATGCGGTGATTCTTACGTCTGTGCACGACGCATGTGGGGACACCAAGAGCAATGCTGTGGGTCACTGCAAGAGATACGGATGTTTGGGGGACTTCTAAACAATTGATCAGACTCACCCAGGCAAGTACTGTCCCCTTGCACATGAGCAGTCAATCGGGGGGCTGGAAGGTGGATGAGACCAACTCCAGGGCAGCTGTGTGGTCTGCCGAGAGGGATGTCCCAACAATGAGAGCTACCTACTTTGACTGCCCCCTTGCCTGCTCCGGGACTGTGAGCCTTCTGGATGTCAAGGGTGTCCCATCACGTGTCAATATTTAATTGAGACTGTAAAGAGTCCTAGTAGACACTAACTGACTGGAACACCTGATCTGACTTTCCCAGGTGTCCGCATCCCACCAGCACATTCCTGGGGGTCCCAGGTTCCTGCAATCCCTCCTCTTACTTAGCTCTTTGAGGATTTTCCCAGGAGGAGTAAACACTCTCTCGAGTCGCAACAGGCCTAGGCTCCCTAAACAAAGATGTCGTAAAGGCTGGAGCATGTGCGGTTGCCAAGGCACTCAGGGCAAGAAACTTCCTGCGCTCAAACCTCCACACATCTTATTCCCGTTGAGCCTCTGGGTTCCATGGCTTCTCATGTGGCAACAGTTGTGGCTATTGGTTCTGGTGGCCCCACTTCCATACTTCAGCTTGGCACCGGGTCCCGCTGATCTCTGGGCCCTGATCTTCAAAGAACTCTGATCTCCCACCTGAAGAATCCCACATGCTCACACCTGCAGACCCAGGGCTTTGATTACTTGGAGTCCTCTGCTCCCTCCCAGCTGATGGCCCTGCCTCAGGAGTTGACTGACGGGTGTTTCTATTCCTGGACATGGATTTAGCAGGAGAGCTGCTCCCAGAGCCAGATCAGCTTGCTGTTTTCATCAGGGTCTGCAAGACAAGCTTACTGCGCAACAGAGGCCCCCAGCGGTGGTTTCAGTGCTAGATAGGGATCAGAGTCAGGCTCTAGCTCTACCTCCTTGACTGAAAAGTAAGTGTCAGAATGCTGATCTAGAACAGGCTGCAGGCCACCCGTCATTTGAATTACTTGTTCCACTTCTGAATAGTTCAAAATCAGCAGTTCGGGGCTGGGGATTTAGCTCAGCAGCACAGCACCTGCCTGGCAAGCGCAAGGTCATAAGTTCGATTCCCAGTACCGGAAAAAAAAACAAAAAAAAAAACAAAAACACAAAACCAGCAGTTCGTTGCTTCTCCCCTAAATGTGAAGAAGAATCTAGCTCAACGTGGGCAATTCACTACACTTGTTGGAACTCCACATCAATTTGCAAAACCTTTTTTTTTTTTTTTTTTTTTTTTTGGTACCGGGAATTGAAGTTAGGGCCTTGCGCTTGCCAGGCAGGCACTTGTGCCACTGAGCTATATCCCTGGCCAATTTGCAAAACCTAAGCTGCAAAGTCAGACTGGTGGCACATGCCTGCAATCCCAGACTCAGGCAAATTAGCAAGTCCTTGTCTCGAAAAATAAATAAAAATAGGTAGGTAGGCAGATAGATAGAGAGGTAGATAGAGTGCAGTTGGACACAGAAAAGTAAAAAGAATAGTTTTAAACTACTAATAGTTAAAAATAAAGTGGATTACTGTTACAGTGAAAAGATAAAGGTTATCAGCCAAGGTAAATAGAACTTACATGGTGCTTATAAGAGACACATTTTAATTATAAGCATACAGAAAAAGTTTAAAAGTGAAAAAATGGGGAAAAAGGCCATGAAAAACTAGCCAGTGAAGTTAACTTCAAAGCAAAAAATATTACTGGAGGTAAAGCAGCCTATTTTGTACAGAAAAATGATTCAATTCACCAGGAAGATATTAAGTTCTAAAACTGCATGTACTTAATAGCATAGCCTCAAAATACATGTATGTAGTCCTAGAATTTGAATGTGTTCAACCCAGCAAGGCTGTCCCACCTCAGTCTGAACTTGCTACTGAGGAGCTTGTAGATCAGCTGTCTGCCTCAGGAAGCAAATGTTCTATCTCCAAGTAGAAGTGAGGCTCATCATTCACACTTACCAGACACCATAGTGAAACCTAAGGATATGGAGGTTTTGACAACTTCACAGACGGATAAGGAGCCTTCACTTCCTCCATGCCAGCAGCAGGGCCCAGTCCAGCTTCCAGAGAGTCCTGAGGAGGTTGAACTTTCATTAACCTCACTAGAGCCCCCAACTCATGTTCTCGGCCCTCCTGTAGTGATTAAACCTTCTCCCAGTGAGGAGGAGCAGCCAGTTCAACCGTCTGAGTCTCCTGGGCAAATTGAACCTTCTGGAAGCCAGCTAGAGGCCATATTGAGGAGGTAGAACCTTCTTCCACCCAGCAAAAGCAACCGTCTCAGTCTCTAGAACATCTTGAAGTAGCAGTTTCACTGCCAGGTCACCACCAGCTTCAGCAGTAACACTTGTCCAGTGTGACTCCTAAATCTCCATATCTGTAGTTTCACCAGAACCCACTGCAAAGGTGAACACTTCTGCAGTCCACCATGAGGCTGCAGCTCAACCCTCAGTTCCAGTGAATAATGTGGAACCTTCAGCAACCCAACACGATTCCCCACTGTGCCTCCAGTGTCACCTGAAGAGGTTGAACCCTGCAGGGGCATTGGGAAGCTCTGCTGCAGACCTGGGCTTGTGACTCAGACCTCATGCCAGACCCTGAGTTGTTCCCAAATCACAGCAGGTTTCCTCTCACCCCTAGACTCCTTTAGGGACTGATCCCTGACCTCCATGACACCTGAGAACCAAGTGCATGCTGGTTCTACAGAAGGGAATGGCTCCAGGGCCACACTGTTACTGAATGTATAGGATACGTTGTCCCTAAAATAGCTGCAAGATCCCTTGGTTCACACTGTTTATCAGCCTGCTTATCTGGCTTGTTTTCATTTAGTAGCTGCCACAAACTATGCTGTCATGATGGTTCTCATCCATATGATTTGGTTCACTGGTTCCTAGGAGTAAAATTGCTAGGCTGGTGTTTGCGTGTGTGGAGCTCTACCGAATGCAGCAAGGAATTCCCTGAAACATTTTGGTCAGCTTTCTCTCCAGTGTCCTCACCAACCTCCCAGGTTACTATCGGTGACTCCTCTGTGGTGACGCTAGTGATCGTACATATTTCTTTCTCAGGTGATAGTGAAATTGAGCACTGATCACATGTTAATCAGGTATTGAAATGTCTTCATGCCAAATGTCTGTTTTAAGTATTTTGTCCATTTTTCTAATTGATTGGAATTATATATGTATCATAGGTTTTTTTTACATAAAATGCTCATAATTAATGTGTTTTGAATATTCTTTCCCTTTCTGTCACTTACCTTTTTACTCCTTGGAGTAGCTTTTAATGGTAGTTTGTTTTTGTCTATTTCAGTACCTTTGGACTATTATGATTTTTTTCTAGCCATTGACAGACTGATACTTTAATAAAATGCAGTAAAAATGACTTAATATAAGAATAAAATAGATTTCCAATTTAAACACAATTTTTGTGTTGATGTAAATAATAGACACAAAATTTTTCTATCAAATTGTTACAAAAGCTTGTTACAAAAAGTTTGTCTCAGTCTGTCTACTTGTCTTAGTGCATACCAGCAACAAAAATTACAGACAGGGACAAGTGCTCAACTTACTATCTGAGCTGCCCATCTAGTGCCCACAGTCACCTTCAGAGCCTTGAGGTCCTTCTGTGTGGTGCACTCAGGTGCGGCACCATCCCTGAGCCACGCCCACCGCCAGATGGATTGTTTACTGGCCCCGGTTGAATGAGAACTAAGTGCAGGTTTTGTGTGTTTATTTTCTCACTGCAGTGCAGAGTTGTTTGAGCTTTCAGATGCTGAGCAGAAATTCTGGCTCTACATTTGGCTGGGTATACAAACCATTCAGTTTTCACACTCTGTAGATTGAAAGTATCTGTGTTATTATTTTTTTAAATCTATTTCTGTGTTACAAGAGTATCTTCACTAGGTTTTTCACTCCACTATGCAATTTTTTTTCCAGTGACCAACACTGTTTTTTGTTTTTTTTTTTTAATTATGAAACCGCTTCCAATTACAGAAAAGTCCTTCTGGCTGAGTGGGTCAAGTAAGGGTTAAAGCTGGGTGAATCTGGGTTTGGATAATAATTCTTCCTGTGCCCTCTGAGTGACCATTCATCTGTTCATTCCATAGCCCATCACTTAGCAGGATCCTAAGTGCACGTTTACAAAGCTGAGTCAAACATTGTCCCAACCCTGAAGGAAACACTAGTGCTTGGGTGCCTCAAAGGGGACAGTGAGGCAGAAGTAATAAGATGAGGGGGAAGGCTGGAAAGCAAAGTCTAGCGGATGACATTTTAGAGGAAGTATTTTGAGATAGAAGCAGTCAGTGAATGCAGAGGCTGCCGAAATCAAACAAATGAAAGCTAGGAGGCATTCACTGGCCTCACAGCGTGAAGGGGGTTCTGGTGGCCTTCTGTTTTATGTGTGCTTTGGGAGTGGAGGATGCACCACAGCCATGCTGGCTTGATACAGAAATGCGGAGGTGTGAGAGA